TCTCTCTCATTCTCTCTGTCTCAAATAAATAAATAAAAAAAATCTTTAAAAAAAAAAAAATAAGGTAATCTCCAATGTGGGCCTCAAACTCACAACCCAAGATCAAGAGTTGTATGCTCCACCAATTGAGCCAGCCAGGTGCCTCATAAGCCTATCAATTTAAATGAGCTGAGAACAATCTGGAAGAAAACTGTAACTGTTTAATACGACTAAAAATATGTGGCACAGGGGCACCTGGGTGGCTCAGTCGGTTAAGCATCTGACTTCGGCTTAGGTCATTATCTCAGGGTTGTGCGACTGAGCTTTCCATGGGCTCAGCAAGTGCTCATCTTGGAGTCTGCTTGAGACTCTCCCTCTCCCTCTGCCCCTCCCCCCTGCTTTCTCTCTCTCAAATAAATAAGTAAATAAATCTTTAAAAAAAAAATCTGGCACATAAATGCTACTTGTACTGAAATATAAAATGTTTTGGCATTTAAGGCAAAATCTCTAATAAATGTTAGGTTTGTCACCACACAAAGATAAAAATCTATTAGAAGAAACTTCACAGATCTCCAAATAATTTTTCTACATTAGAATATTTTTAACAAGCCCCATATTTGTGGAGATTACATTTTCAGTTTGCAGAATTTCAAGATAACAATACATAGCAATGAGCACTCGTTATAGATTTATAATCTGTGCTCTAAGCACTTCACCTGAGTTCATATAGTCCTTACACAATTCCCATCACACAGGTTCTGACTCACTTTCTGTCTTATAAATGAAGTAAGTAAGGGTTAGCAGGTTAAGAAACTTGCTCAAGGTCATACAGCTGGTGGGTGAAAGAGGCAGGATTTAAACCAGAGATATGGGACTCTAGGTGTTTCTCACCTGGTGAGTGGGCCTTTCTGTGTCATAAATCAGCGAGTGAAATGAACTTTAAACAAAGTATACGAAAGAATCATGTAAAGCAGATAAAATAGGATACTTTTTCAAAGCCGTTTCACATACACTGTCTCGTATCATTGTCGCAATATCCCTTTGAGGACAGAGAAGGCACTGATCAACCTCCACAGCAGATATGGAGATGATATGATTTGCGCAAGGCACGTAATAAGCTGCTTTGAGTGCTAGATTAGGACTCAAGTCTTTTGACTTCTAATCCAGTGTTGATTCTAATTTTCCTTGAAGAATGATAAATCGTAAAATTCTATAGGACAAGTACTGAGAGAAATTCAAATGATGAAAAGTAGACCACGGGGACCTCTAACTTGGTTCCCACCCAGGCTCCTAGGGCGCTAAAGGGGACCTTACCACGTGGCTCCCATCCATTTGCTTCTGCTGTCAGGGCCCGGAGGATGCCATGGTTCTTCAACTCCGAGATCTGTAGGGGCAGCTGACCTTTAGTGTGAGGGTGAATCCATACCTTCCCATCCACACAAACATGCCCCACCCACAGAAGAGAATGTCTTTGGAACTGGAGGTCAGAAGGATGGGTTGATTAAAGTCAGTCTTAAAGAGAGGCACGTGGAAAACTCCAACTATCATGTACAAGTCAGGTGAGGTGGGGACAAGCATATGCTCTCCTTGAAGAATAAACGAAAATTCACACAACTCAACTGAGACTGTGGTGTGCCTTTGGTATTCCCACTGCTCTTTGTATTCTGCTTCCCTGGAGCAATTATCTTACTAGCTAGAGGTTGTTTTGCAAGTTTGTGCCCCACAACTCCGCCCCCAAGTGTGAGCTCCTGGAAGCAGGGTCTCTGCTGTCCTGAGTCCCTGGTGCCTGGCCCCACAGAGCAGCATGCAACAAAAGCTTGTATGGGCGGGAGGTACTGGGGTGTGGGTGACATGTACAGGAATTCCTCTGAGAGCCCGAAGAGCACTGGTGTCCTTGTCATACGGTGGAGGATACGCAGCAGACACACTTTCAACCTATAAGACAAAGCAGGGTCAGATTCTTGGGCACATATCAGTCCTCCAAAGTTGACAGCTTAAATGTCACACCTTTTCCCAATACCACACACACAAAAATGGATGAACTCCCGAGAACTCAACTGTAAGGACTACTGTAAGGGAAAACTTCTGCTTAATCTAGTCTTAAGAGAAACTGCAAAAAGCTCAGTTAATATTATCTCAGATTTTTTGGCTCCGTAAAAGGTCTCAGGACTCTGAGGAAGTTTAGGGAGGCAGTTTCCTTACTTTTGGCCTTTCTGTTCAGCTAAACCTTTGCCCATTAGAGCTTTAAAAAAACCACTTACCAACTTTAAAAACACAAACAAAACAAAACAAAACCACTTGACCAACTTTTGCAACTCAGATTACCAATACAGGACTAATTTTCCTAATGTGTTTAAAAAAATCCTACAAATCAGTCAGGAAAAGAAACCCAGCCCAGTAGAAAAATGGGCATGGATATGGACAGCTTACAGACAAGGAAACATGCACTGCTCTGAAACAAATAAAAAATGCTCAACCTTACTCGTAATAAGAGACGTGTCAAATAAAACTAGTCCGAGATAATATTTGTCACTTATCATATGAGCAAATTTCAAAGAGTGATAACACACTGTGTTGGCTAGAAAACCAAGTGTTGTAACACACTGAAGGGTAAATTGTTCCCACCTCTACAGCTTGACAATATCTGACAAAATCGTACATGCTTTGTCCATTTTGGGCCTGCAACTGCATTCTAGAAACTTATCCAACAGATATACTCGTCCGTGTGCAAAAGGACATGCTTAGAGCGTCATTCGTGGTGGAACAGTTTGTCATAGCAAAAGGCTAGAAAAACCCCGAATGCCCACTAATGGACTAGTTCCACAAATAAAAGCATATTAACTCAATGAGCTCCGATCTAGCCATAGAGAAGAATAAGAAAGTGTTTTATGGACAATATGGAACACTCCACATGATATATTAAGTAGAAAAAGCAAAGGGCAAAGTATATACAGTATGTTACCATTTATATTTTTAGAAAACACACAAATATATTTGCTTGTCTCTGCCGAGACTATTTCTAGACTTATACCCAAGGAAGCAGTGATTTTGCCTCCAGAAGAAAACTGGGTGGCTAGGGGACAAGAGAAGGCAGTTTTTTCACTATAGGTACATGCTCCCTGCTTTTTGGATTCTGAACCATGTGAATGTATTATTTGCTCTAAAATAAATAAAAGGAGGGGCGCCTGGGTGGCTCAGTGGGTTAAGCGTCTGCCTTGGGCGCAGGTCATGATTCTGGAGTCCTGGGATCCAGTCCCACATCGGGCTCCCTGCTCATCGGGGAGCCTGCTTCTCCCTCTGCTGCTCCCCCTGCCTGTGCTCTCACTTTCTCTCTCTCTGACAAATAAATAAATAAATCTTAAGAAGTAAAATAAAATAAATAAGAGGAAAAAACTAAGTAAAAGAAAATAACTAATAAAAAAATCAGTGCTACGTCAAGGCCCCAGAATCCCAGCTGATCCTGTTACTCTAATCCCTCCTACACATTTTTGCCAACTCTTACTCCTTAAACAGAGCTTTGATTTCTTTATGACCAGGACACAAGAATGAATGCCTGAACACGGCACAGCTAAGCAAACTCCTCCACTGTTGGCCTTGTGATGCCTCCTCACGACTATTTCCCACTTCAGTCCAGTGAACACACTTGCTGCAGATCCTCTCATCTCCATCCCTTGGGTCATGTGGTCTTCCTCCGGAAGACACCCCTACCGCCACCCCTTCTGCCTCCTCAAGGTGGCCTGCCTTCCCCACTGGGGCTACAAGGGTCTCTTCCCTTCTCAGTCCTACAGCCAGCCCTTCGGCAGGGAGGACAAGTCCCTCTGCAAGAGTCCTATGTGACAAGAAAACAGCTATTCAGAGTTGCTTCCTACATGTTTACAGTATGACAACCCTGCTCACAGCCAGAACCTGGACATTTAGATAAGCACCTGAGCTTAGGATTCTTGCCACGAGGTCCTGCCTTGCTTTTCCTGGGGCACCTTTTAAAATAATCACTTAGAGTTGAGCCTGAGAAAAGCTAGTGACCTCCCCCTTATAAGTAATAGGGGTGCTTGCTCCTCTACTCCCTATCTCGTGCTTGCTCGTGATCTGGGACTGAGGACTGCCCCTACCTTGGCTCATTGCCCCCTCCACACACTCACCCCTGCCACATTTTTGGGATCTGCAAGTAATAAGTCTTGTGACTCCACTTCTTTTTTTTTTTTTTTTTAAAGATTTTATTTATTTATTTGAGAGAGAGAATGAGAGAGAGAGCATGAGAGGGGTGAGGGTCAGAGGGAGAAGCAGACTCCCTGCTGAGCAGGGAGCCCGATGCAGGACTCGATCCCGGGACTCCAGGATCATGACCTGAGCCGAAGGCAGTCGCTTAACCAACTGAGCCCCCCAGGCGCCCACTCCACTTCTTTTTTGTGAGTGTGCTGAAACTGCACCGTCAATCAAAATGGCCCTAGAATTTTCACTACCCGCAATGCAGCCTATCTTTAAATCAGACCCTGCGGCTTTGAGTGGAGGAAATTTCTTTTACACTTCTATTTCTGACACCCATTAGCACAGTACGAGGCACAAAATATGTTCTCAAAAATTCTGATGATTCACTACGCTGAACAACTCCCTGCAGGGGTCTGTGTGCTTATGATTCATTCCATCCTTCCTTTCCCTCTCCAATTCAGTTCTCTCCAGTGGCCGAAGACTTCTCTCCTGGAAGAACAGTTCACCTGTCTTAGTACAGTGAAGAAAACCTCCCTGGGCTCCCAAAGCAAAGGCTTTGTCCCACAAGCTCCATTAAGACCACTTGTGGACCAGGTAGGGAGAAAGGCAAGGAAGGTAGGGTTAGCTGCCAGGCTCACACAAAGACATATCACACTGGACCCAGAGTCCTGAGGATAATCGAGCCAAAGCATTGTTTGACAAGGGTCAATAAGGTAAACAGTCCAAATTGATAAATTAAAAATATCTTGGGGGATTCCTCATTGACATTCTCCTCTCACCCAAGTAAATCCGAAACAAAATCCCATGACTCACTTAGAAAATAAGCTACTAGTGGGGCATCTGGCTGGCTCAGTCCGAACAGTATGTGACTCTTGATCTCGGGGTGATGAGTTTGAGCCCCACATTGGGTGTAGAGATTACTTAAATGAATAAACTTAAAAAAAAAAAAAGAAGGGGCACCTGTGTGGCTCAATCTGTTAAGCAGCTGTCTCTGGCTTGCGTCATGATTTCGGGGTCCTGGGATCAAACCTCTGCTCAGCAGGGAGTCTGCTTCTTCATCTCCCTCGCCCTCTGCCCCTCCCCACCTCCTGCGCAGGCATGTGTGCTAGACCTCTCTCTCAAAAAAATAAATAAAATCTTAAAAAAAAAAAAAAGAAAAGAAGCTGCTAGCAAAGGCAACTGACTCAGAGGTATATGAATAGAAGCTTCTCCTACAAAGAGCATTATAATGAGGGTTTTCCCAAAACATTTTGAAAGTTCTGCATTCTCTTGATATATCCTGTGTTACTACTAATGACAATATATCCCAAACGAACACCTTCTTTCTCAAATAGAAGGGCTTGCTTACCTGTCCATCTCTTAATCCTTTCTCATTATGGAAAGAGCAAGAGTTTTCATTCATGACTCAAAGTCATTTGTTCAAGTGAGCTTTGTCCTTGGGCTCAGAAAGGAGTCTAATAAAGTCTGAGATTAGAAGTATGGGGAGAGCCAGCGATCCGACTGCTCTACCTTTGCCTTCCTTCTTGGCAGTCATTCAGACTAAGAGTAAGTAAACAGTCCCCATGTGCCATCACCAAGGCTAGGAGGTTTCTGTGAGTACTGAAAGAAGTCCCTGAGGTCTCTGAAGTCTCAGTCCTATAAGAAAAAAAAATTACGGAAGAAAACTAGTTTTGTCATTCAGTTAAGCAAAAATGGGAATGGATGATAAATGGTCAAAAACAGCCAACATCCAGGGGCACCTGGGTGGCTCAGGAGGTTAAGCACCCCGCTCTTGATTTCAGCTCAGGTCATGATCTCAGGTTCGTGAGATCGTGTCTCCAGTAGAGTAGGGCTCCGTGTTTAGCCGGAGTCTGCTTCTCTCCCTCCCTCTACCCCTCTCCCTGTTCTCTCTCTCTCTCAAAATAAATACATAAATCTTAAAAATAAATAAAAATCTTCAAGCAGCTATAAATTTATTCCGAATAAATCAGCTGCTTTAGTCAAATGCCTAATTCTTACTTTCCATGCCACTGGATGGAACGAAGGGGAGGCTAGAGGTCTGAGGGTTGGATCCTCAGTGTCCAGAAGGCAGCAGCAGCACCACTGTTTAGTGGTGAGGTCTGGTTCTGACAATGAAGTCCCTGGGATCTGGGGGCAGCTTATCAAAGGGAGGAAGCTAATGAGTGGCATCCTGGTGGGTGGTCTTAGCTGAAGTGCTCAGGCTTTGCTTAGGTCTCAGACACAGGTTGGGTCTGGGGGCTTATAATACTAGGCCTGGTTCCTGTGACGATAGAAAATCAAAATGCAACACATTGCCTAGCCTTCCTTGGTGAACACCAATATTGCACATGTTGCAGCTGTTTAGTCAGTTTGGCTAACTCTAAGACAGTCATCCCACAAGCCCACCTTGGGAAGGGGGCTGGACAGGCTGGTAATTTATTGTGGAGGAACTGTACAACATGGATGACTGTTCCAACAGTCTGGATCATAAGTGGGCAGAAAGCCCACACACAACTGACGGCCATATTTCACAGACTTGGATAACTTAGGAAGGAGGGTGGCCTCTCTTTGAGGTCAGCCCCGGACTGTGGGAACATGATCTGGATTCCCTAAGAATTGGCTGCCAGTAACAAACTGGAATCTTTGTCAGATGGTAGGACGATTTCCAAGCACCCAGAATGGGAATACTTCCTGGCTATTGGGCTGGACATTTGGGTCACTGTAATTTAATGGGGAGGACAGTACCTGTCCTACCTTGGTCATGGTACCTCAGGAACTAGCTCTCTCCCTCACTGTGTCCTCTGGGACCTCAGCATCTGGTTCCCTTTCCTTGCCCTCCTCCTTGATCTCCATGACACCATATAACAAAACTCACACAGCCAACCTTGGGAAGGTGACAGGCAGGGATGGTACCAGTGATCTCTGGAAGCCTCTTCTGTTTCTGTGTATGAAATGAATCACGCAGCACAGAAGCATGACCAACTTTACACACCTGCTAGTGCCTCAGTTCCAACTGGAGCTCTGGGGACTTCAACAGGGACAGTTACTGTCTGTAATAGAGAAAGAAAAGAGCAAAAACTCCATCAAATAAGCCAGTAACGGAAGTTATGAAGTCATGCCCACCAACATTAGGCAAGTTCCTTATAGTTGGGCCCAAAGAAATGGCCTTCCCATAAGAATGGGTCTTTTTCAAATTAAGTATGGTACACCCACTCTAGGCAAGGAGCTACATATGATTTTCAAACTTCTTGCTGGAGCTTCAACTCTCTGAATAGGTATTTAATCCAGACACTGGGTCCATACTTTAAATACCAAATGCCCACGTAGGTCTGACAGTCCTTCTCTGATCCTTTCATCAGGCTTGTCGCTGGGCGGCTCCCCGGCCCCTCACTGCCCCCAGGGAGGGCAGGTGCCAAGAGGACCCAGGCAGAGGCTTGGGGGCGCCGCCAGGCCTCCGCCGCAGGCAACGCCATCCCAGGCGAGCGCCGCGGCCTCGGGCAAAACGACTGGCCACCCGGGGGCACGAGGCCGGGCGCTCGCCGGCTGTGACGGGCGGATCTCAGCAGGAATCTCACTCCATCAAGGTACCCCGCCAGACTGGGGCTGTGTGGGTTCCGGACGGAATCCTCCTCACCAGTTGGTGCGAAAAACAGGTAAGCAACTTGCCTCGGGTCATTGGGCGCGCCCAAGGCAGAGCGCAGACCACACCTCTGGCCTCCTGGGTCTCGGGAGAGATTCTCTCTCAGGCTTGCAGCTCTCAGCCTCGTCTCGGCCGGGGGCGACCATCTCCACCCCACGCCCGTTCCGCAGAGGTAGGGGTTCGCTGGCCGCGGCCCAGAACCCGGGAGCCGTCGCGTCGGGCTCAGGCCGCCGGCCACGCCTCCCCGCGCGTGCGCACCGCGTCCCACGCAGCCTCTCCGCCCCCAGCGCCCCGCCTTCTGGCCGCCCGGGACGCTTAGTGCCGCCAGAGCCGTACGAGCCGCAGGGAGGGACGGTCCCGGCCCGAAGGTTCTGGCTTATCAGTGGTCGAGGCTGCCTCCGCCTCCCCGCCCACCCCACCTTCGCCCAGAAGGACTCAGAGGCGAGGCGGAGCCCCTGCCGCAGAGGCTGGGCGCGGTGGCAGCGGGCCCCGTCCTCGGACCCCGCCAGCGCCATGTGGCTTTCGCTGCTGCTGCTGCTGGTCGTGCTGCTGCTGACGGTCCTCTGCAAATGGCACCTGCGGCTGTCCGCAGGCAGCTCCCCGAACCCCTTCTCCGAGGACGTCAGGCGTCCCCCCGCGCCGCTGGTGACCGACAAGGAGGCTAGGAAGAAGGTTCTCAAGCGAGGTCAGCGGGAAGGGACCCTAGGCTCCAAGGCTGCACTTGGGCGGCTTGCATCCCTATTCCAAGAGGGAGAGCTGCTGTCTACCTGGGCCTCAGTTTCCCCATATGTAAAGTGTTGGGAGGGTTTCCTTGCACCGGCAGGCGCCCCGCCTTATTGTCTGCTACCGGTGAGAACCTATGCCCTGGCAGTCCCGGCGCCATAGTGGCCCCATGGGCGCGGTCCCGTCCTCTGCATCCCAAAGTCATGGTTTTGCTAAGAACAGGTCCTCGACCAGCAGGATAGACAACAGACCTTCGCCCCATTTGGTTTATAGGACCTTACCTTTTTCACTTGCCCTCCCCCATGGTTCAGAGGGGTGGAGGACCTGCACATTTCTTCCAACCTGTGTGGGAAATTGTATTTTGCCCATCAGGTGATTTGACCAGTTATGCTTCCTCCCAAATCATATGGTTGAACCCTGGTTCTAAAACTTTGGGCGAACCTCAGCAGGATGCCTCAGGCTCAGAGCTGCTCCTTAGTCAACCAGAGTATCTCCACACTCATCTTTAGGACATATTTTGGGGTTCCTCAGAAGGTTTAAAGAAAGAATTGTGCTTTAAAAAAAATTAGATTCCCTCTTTGATCTCCAAGGTCCCTCCTACTTGTAAATTTTAGAATTCTGTGTGACACATCCTGTGACACAGGCGGAGACAATACTCTTTTAAGTGGAAAGACTGTTAGTCTGAACTTCTGAGATCAGGGTTTTAGCTTGAACTCTGTCACTAATTTACTGCATAACCATTCACAAGTCACTCCACTCATCTTGGGTTGTTCTAAAAATGAGATGACTAGTGTAACTGTTTTTCAAACCAGGTTGTGATTTATCAGTAAGTAATGAAATCGATTTAGTGGGTTGCATTTCAAAATGTAGAATAGAAAATATGAGTCATCATACATAGTTCTGGGAAGTATTGTATTGTGAAACTTCTGTTTCGGGTATTTATATTATATACTTATTTATAACCTGGGTTGTGATATAAAATGTGTTTTTCATGGGGCACCTGGGTGGCTCAGTCGGTTACGTGTCTGCCTTCGGCTCAGGTCATGATCCCGGGGTCCTGGGATCTAGCCCCGCATTGGGCTCTCTGCTCGGTGAGGATCCTCCTTCTCCCTCTGTCTGCCGCTGTGCCTACTTGTGCTCTTTCTGTCAAATAAATAAATAAAATCTTTAAAAAAAAATGTGTTTTTCACTATAGGTTTTTCTGAAAGCGTTTGAAAAGTTTTTCAAGTTCTTTTGCAGCTTGAAAAATTCCAAATCTCAGTTCTTCACGAGTGATCTTTAACGAACAGATTTTTTGTTGGAAATGCCCATGTAGCACAATGCGCTGTCCGGCTTCATCTTGTTTAGGTGCTGGCCCCTTAGTTCTGCCTCTAGACTTCCCAGATATGAAGGGGTGGTACTATGATTTCTCAGCTCTGTCCTGCTCAAGCTTCTGCTTCAGGATCTTGACGAACCATCATAGGACCAGGCTGCTCCACTCGTGCCAACAGACCCTGTATTTTCCTAAGATAACCAACTTGTGAATGGACAGTTCCATGAGCCGGCAGTCTGCCCACAACACTCTCCTCTGTCCCCCATCTCCTCGTTTTCTTTCTTTCCTAGCTCTCTATCCACACGTAAGTTTCTCAGCCTGTATTACTGTCAGCTTTCTGATTTTGATTGTGTCGTGGTTTACTGATTCCTACTCTTTTTGATAGTAGGGAAAATCTCCAGGTACATACTGGTTTTGATTACATCAATTCATCTCAAACCAAATCGCTGTCTTTAATCTGCCTGGCTGGTCCTGAGAATTTCCCAGGTGAATGGGTGGAGTTATTTTAGTCAGTTGCTCCATGCCGAACTCTCTAGAGTTTACTTGCATTGTATAAGCTAGCGGAGTCTTCCTTGGTGTCCATCTCTTTGCTCTCTCGCCCCCCCTGCCTGAGAAGCTCACCCTCCATCTCTTCCCTCTGCGGTAGCTTTCTCAGCCAGCCAAGTGCCTGAGAAGCTGGATGCAGTGGTGATTGGCAGTGGCTTTGGGGGTCTGGCTGCAGCTGCGATTCTGGCCAAAGCTGGCAAGCGAGTTCTGGTGCTGGAACAACACAGCAAGGCAGGAGGCTGCTGTCATACTTTTGGACAGAGAGGCGTTGAGTTTGACACAGGTAAGGCTTATGTGGGAAGGGCTTAGGAGCGTGGCTCTATCTTCAGGAGGCTGGGGGCAGCCATTGTGGGAGGATCCTGGACATTTCTGTTGTTTTGGAGGCACCACTGTCTTTGCCTGACAGCCATAACTTTACCGGGTGCTGAACTGTGCAGAGATTTGGTGGTTTCTGTTGCAACTCCTCCCCGCAGAAAGGGTGGGCAGCGCCCTCTGGGCATGGACTCAGCCAGGCAGGACTACCTCTTTCACCTTGCTTCCTTATCCACCTTTCCAGGGGTCAGTCCCCTTATCCCTATGACACCTTGTTTTTCTGTCTCCCAATAGGAATCCATTATGTTGGGTCCATGCAAGAGGACAGCATTTGCCGTTTTGTCTCAGATCAGATCACAGAGGGACAGCTGGAGTGGGCTGCCTTATCCTCTCCCTTTGACATCATGGTACTAGAAGGGCCCAATGGCCGAAAGGAGTTCCCCATGTACAGTGGGGAGAAAGCTTATGTTCAGGGCCTCAAGGAGAAGTTTCCCCAGGAAGAAGCTGCCATTGACAAATATGTAAAGCTGGTTAAGGTAACATGGACATGCTGAGGACCCCCTGTTTATTCCTGACAAGGCTGACCTTCTTCGTGGGTGGAGTGACTGGGAGGCGCGGCGGGAAGGGAGGAACAGTCAAGTTTGCCCTGAACTCAGCCCTTACCCCTAGTTGGCCTTGGTGCCCAGCTGGGCCCTGTCTCTGGAGCCTGGACTCGGCGGCTGCCACTCTCACTCTGGCCTCTGGGGGGCACCCTGTTCTCCTTTTTGACAAGGCTGGCTTCTACCTATGTGGTCAGATCACACCCTTTTTTACTTCCTCAGAGATCAGATGGGATTTTTCAAAGGGAATTTGGGCAGGAAACTGAAAAGGAGAAAAGGACTTATCTGAATGTGGAATGGGAACGATTTTTAAAAATCCAAGTTCTGCCAGGGCTAAGGGGTGCTGGGCCCTGGTGCTGGGCTGGTGCAGGCTGTTGGAATGGGGATTCTTTTACAGCATTCTAGAGATGGGACCTGTTCTCACGGCTCATTTTTTTCCCTCAGGTGGTGTCCCGTGGAGTCATCCATGCCATCTTGTTGAAGATGCTCCCGTTGCGCATAGCTCAGCTCCTCAGCAAGTGTGGGCCGCTCACCCGGTTCTTTCCATTCCTTCGTGCGTCCACCCAGAGCCTGGCTGACGTCCTGCGGCAGCTGCCAGCCTCCCCGGAGCTCCGGGCAGTGCTGAGCTACATCTTCCCCACTTATGGTGGGTACTGGCTTTGGGTCCTGGGCGGCTCCTGGAGGAGGAGGGGCTGCCCTCTTGGCTCTCAGTCTTTCTTCCTGAGACTGCTTGACTAACTGAGATGGAGCAGTAGATACCCAAGGCCTGCTGGAGCTTCTGGATGAGAAGTCTAGCCACCTACCTGCTGGACTCCCTGGTAAAACTTCCCTTCATCCGTGCCCTGGATGGTTTTCCTTTTCAACCAACAATGTCCTCCCTCATCTTGGCAGCATGGCACTTTGCAGGGAGGACATTCCCACTGGCCTCAGGATCTGTCAGGTGCCCTGTGTTTGGATGGAAACAGGCCCTCTGGCTGCCCTTAGCCCTGGGGATCATTTGGATCCTGGAATGGGTAGACTCAGGCTGCGTCCTTTTTGACAGGAAACTGTGTTCCTTTCTTTTTTTTTTTAAAGATTTTATTTATTCATTTATTTGAGAGAGTGAGAGAGAGAGAGAGAGAGAGCACACGAGAGGGGGGAGGGTCAGAGGGAGAAGCAGACTCCCTGCCGAGCAGGGAGCCC